CTACCTTGCGTAAACAAAATTGTTATTAACGTTTGGTATTTATAGATTTTAAAAAATTTATAAAATAAATGGAGGACTGTACAAGACCTCCCAATATATGTATAGGACTTAAACAATATCAGGAATATTCAGAACTAAGCTCGTTTTAAACTGCAATTGTTATCGCTTCGTAAAAGTCTAAAATGCATGACGTATATTGAAGAAATGTTGAAAAGTGCTGTCATGAATAAACAAAATTGTTATTAATATTTGATATTTAGAGATTTAAAAAATGTATAAAATAAATGGAGAACTGTATATATAAGACTTCCCAATATATGTATAGGACTTAACAATATCAGGAATATTTAGAACAAAGTTCGTTTTAAACTGCAATTGTAATCGTGACCTATGTCGACTTTTCTAAATTAAATTCAGAGCTAAATATGATCCTTCGATATGTACAGAATCTTAATGCCGAGAGAGCAAGGCCTTCAAGCTGTTGAAGCTGTAATTATTAATATCTGACGTTGATTGATTTTAATATGAAATTAAGGGCTATATACGTAATTAAGCTCTTAATACATCCCAGATAACACAGTGAATTCGAAAAGTATTCTTCAAGTTTTCTGCCTTTTTGAATTGTAATTCTTCAGGAATTTATAAGAGAATACAATAAAAATGATTGGGAAAGTTACGTGCCCCACAATAAACTTCTAACGAATACTTCAAGACAAACTGATCGCGGCTAATTCTTCAAAAACTCTTCAGATACTCAGTTTTACAATTCTGCAAGTATTTTCTATAAAATAAATTCTGTATGAACTTACGTTCACCTTTGTGCTATCCGGAATAGAACCTTTCAATATTAGAAATCCAGAGGAAAGCTCTTTTTAAGCTATAATATTTTCACAAACAAAAGTTGATGAAGATACCCGGTAACGGACTAGCCAGATCACACTGGTGGCCAACGGTGCTGTCCATGGCCATGTAACTGTACGCTCCAGCAAAGTACTGGTTCATGCACCACTTGCTCCTGAGAACGTTGGCTGGATAAGGTAATGTCGGGTCGCCGGTGAACCGACGAAGAACCATCGTCATCGACTCCACCACTTCCTCGTCGGAGCACAACTCCATGTCCGTCGCTTCGCGTCCGCACACCCACGCGCACAACACGTGCTGAGAATTAGGCAGTTCCTCTACATTCGCCACACCTAAACGCGAGCACTTTTGTCGATTCTGCCTTGCAAATGGCAATGTTAAGAGTGTAAGTGACGACCTTTCACCCAATCGCATCTATCCGCTAGTTCTTCAACGGACCAAGCGAACTTGATGGCACCCTCTCGCCAAACCCAGAACGGTCTCGCGTATTCCAGGAAAATTTTGTTAACGTGCCCGTATCCGAGCTTGCTGATCGCTTCGACTTTTTCGGCGGGTAATCCCGGTAGGAAGAACTTGGCGTGCTGACTTTTGAGGACGCCAAGTGAAACGGTCACGATCACGTAGTCAGCTGAAAACTCCTCGCCGTCGTCGCACTTGACGATAGCTCGTGGATACGCGTCGCTCGCCGCACCCCACCGAATGCAATTAACGGATTTGCAGTACCTTGAAAACGTTAAACGATTTATAGTTACAGTTTAAACGTAATCATTAATGATGTTAAATATTATCGTGGTCTTTCGTTCAGAGATGTCTCAACAAAATCATTTTTCCACAAGGCTGTCCTTTAAAAGCTCATTTCTTTTATTTCTTTCTTTCCATGCAGCTGTCAAATATAAATATAGCTTTCACGATTCCAAGATTATTCGTACACATTTTAAAGTTCAATTCCTTTAAAACAGTTTATTTCTTCATAAAATAGATATTGGTGGAATGAACTCTCTAAAAGTCAATCAGTGGATTGTCACTGAAAACAGTGAATAGTCATGACTGATTTAGTTATAAGTATACCACTGCAATTTTCAGTATCACTGTTTTCAGTGATAATTCACTGATTGACTTTTACAGAGAAGAGTTAACTCTTTTGTACAAACTTGACGCAACAGCTGGGCAGGTCTCGAAGTAAGGGAGCCAACACCCCCACGTAACCCAAGGGTACCCTGATATTTCCCCCGGGGATCTCGATGTAACTGCCGAACTGATCGGCCGAGACGAGCGAGAGATCATCTCCGCAACGACATCTCATGCAATTTGTCATGCCGTACATTACCCTCGCGGCATCGTATCTGCGAATCACACATCGTTTATCACTTCTAGTTACGGGAGAGACCTATAAAGGCTAGTCTATGCAAGACTGTAACCGTTAACTTACGCTGGAATCGGTAAAAATTGTCCAATCACCGTTAAAAGTGAAGAGCATAATTGACTGTAATTGGTTAATTTTTACCGATTCCGTCATAAGTTAACGGTTACGGCCTTGCATAAACCAGTCTTAACTCAGTCGTAATTAATCGAGCAGCGATGTAACGGTTACTTTTGCGAACCGCGTCATTTCTCTTATTAGCAAACAACTCTTTAGTATTATTGTATATTTACACTATATAACTTTATGTACGTGTCAATAACAATAAAATATGTATGCATGTATGTCAATCATAAGCATTGGACTAATTTGAATAATCTAAAATATATAAATTAATAAAATTTATATGGCTCAAATGCGATAAACACAAATTTGAATGAATAAAGAACTAAGTGACAGGGTGTTAATTTAGTAAATTACTAGAAATCCTGAGTGCTGAGTGGTGCAATGATAGTAATTTATTAGATTGCAAATAATCCAGCAGGAAAAATAGCATCGTCTGCAGCGGGCTTAAGTGTCTAAATATTTCATTCTATTGTAAATTTAAACAACAGCACCCTGTCACAACTCTTAGTCCTTTATTTTTTCAAATAAAATATAATCAATATCTGTGCGCGAGGAATAAGCTAACTTAAAAGGAAGCGAGTAAAATATAAACCCATTCTTAATTTGTCTCTTATCTTTCTTTTTCTACAAATTTTCACTCATAAATGGCTAATGATTTGCTGAATGCATTTTTACTGAAAAATGGAAACTTCGATCATGTACATTTAATCAATTAATGAGAAACTCCCTACTTGGATGAGATCGCTAACTCTTTACATCGCTGCCAATATGGCCTTGCGGTTGACCTTGGCAACTGTACCGTTGCTCCTCTGGGAAGTTATGAAGCTCCTGTTGAATTCTGACGCCCATAAAATTCAGCAACGTACCGTGGGCACGACCACAACCAAGGGCAAAGAGGGCCGCCGCCTGCTGCTCGATTTGCCGGAACGTGTGATACGCTGCGATGCTGACCGGCAGATCGATGGCCCTACCGTCGCTGGTGCAGAAGAGCCCGCGACTTGGATCCGGTCTGAAAAGCGGTGCCTTCAACAGGCCTTCTTGTGCCGCCAAAGTGAACACTGGATTCGCCACGCAACCACCCTCGATCCACGTGGCGCCCATTTCCGCCACCACGTCGCCCAGCCAGCAAGAGTGGATCCGTCCACCCGGCCTGGAATTGGCAATGCATTAACTGACTCTATCAAAAGCGATAAAATTTCACTACGATATAAATCTATTATATTTTTGAGAATAGAGATTAATAGATCATGTTAAAATAGTAAAACGTTAAATCAACACGGTTAAACTTGACTGTAACATGTTATTTTGAGATGTTATACTATTTATTAAAATAAGTAATATAATATCTTATAATATTAATGTTAAGGTTTAGTATTTCCAATTTTAAAGCTAATGTTGAATTTGTTCGAGATACCTGTCTGTCGCCTCTAAAACTGTAAAATTACGGAGGCCGCATTGGGCCAATCGATGTGCTGCTGATAGTCCGGCCATGCCAGCCCCTACGATTACAACGGTTGGTTCCGGTTTACATGGATCTATCATACAGGGATCCAGTTGACATGTTTCGAATTTTGCCGGCTTTGCACATTCTACTATATCTTTTTTACTTCCTCCTCCTTTGTCTGATGAGAATAATCTGAAACGCGCGAGATTCTCTCATCAATCAATCTCTTATTCAATTAATTAGAAGCTTGATTTCAAGCAATAAAAGTCAATTTTCTCAGCAAATAACTATAAATTATAAATATCATAATTAATAATATGAAAAAGTATGATTTTTAACAAAAACTAAATAACCTTATTTCATGATTGACTATCATTTCCGCCTACCTTGTGAGAAATCGTTGCAATTTCCATGACGATATTCTCGATCTCGAAAGCATTTAATTGGTTACACGATATTAAAATCAATGATGTTCAAAAAATTGATTATTAATCGTTCAGAAATATAGACGTATATAATTTAGACGCGGATTTATATGAGAAGAACATGTCATTAAAAAACAAAGAACTTTGATCATTCTGATCGTTTAATGTCGAGTTATCTTTGCAAGTTTCAAGTCGAATTATTTTTACAAGTTTCAAGTTGAAACAAGAAATTTATAATTACAAATTTTGATGAATGTAAAAGGTCAAAGAGTAAGTCACATAATATAAAATTACATGTTTTGAAAGTAACAAAATTTGCTATAAGAGTAGTTACAAACTTACCTATTACTTTCAAATTTCTTATCTTGAAAGCATAAAAATTGCATGTTTTAATAAGTCGAAAAATTTATTGTTCTCCTTTCATTTATCAAAAACGCAAGAAATATTTTTGATGTATTAAAATTGCACAATGTGATTTCCCTCGCAACATACAATTTCATAAGACAAATAATCATGATAAATGTTTGAGATCGCTTAAGAAAAGGCAATTCTCCAGAGCCGCTCGCTCAGCGAGAGGCCCAATCTTGTTAAAAATCGCTTAGTTAGCGAAAATTCCTTTCGCTGCGAATAACATTAGCTGCTTTCCTTTTACACTCAAGTGATACTGAGTCACTCAGTTATGTGAGTATTTTATACTCAGATATGACGTCATTAATGTGAGTCTATTAAATAATAAATATAAGTGAGACATAACATTTGTAAAATCATTTATTAATTAGAATACTATTGTGTTAATTATACAGTGTTTTTGATATAAAAGTATGTCCCTCGATTTATATGGTTCTTTCTATACAATTTTTCTTTTTACGCGTGAAACTTCCTTCATTTAAGAGGAAAACAAAACTAACAAGCATTCTCTTAACACGGTAAAATGTGGTACAAAAATTTATTTGTAAAAAAGGTCAAAATGATCAGAAAGTTCAGTTATGATATTTTTTGCGAAATTTCTTTCGTCCCTAAGTTCAGAGTTTCTATCCTTGTCGCAATATCGTCCGTCGGTTTCACGATATTTTTGACCGACTTTTTATGAAGTTTTTCTCGCAAAATTTCTGTTGTTTGACTGCTTATTTCATTCCATGAAAAAGCGATATCTTCTTCCCGACATAATCGACTGCACACAACGAATCTAGCGACAAGTTTACGTTGATACGTGGCGACGATGAGATAAACTTGTTTTCTGGTCTGCAGACGATCCAAAAGTTCTTTCGTCAAACTGTTATCTCCCTGAAAAGAGGAATAATCTGTTTGTTGCGAAAATCTCAGATATAATTCAATCAAGTTATAATTAAAATTATAATTAAAGTTAAATTTATAATTATAAAATAATTCCGTTTATAATTGAAACTGTAACACTACTTAAAAAAAAGACCATAACATTATGACGTAAATGATTGATTATTCATTAAATCAAAAACATTGAAATAAAAGTAATTTATTCAATTAAAATAGAAAATAAATAGAAAAAGAGAAACACCTATGATTAACAGTTAAACTTTTAATTTGCAAATTGATGAAAAGGCTTGTGGTTGAAAAGAACGTACTTTAATACGGAAACAAACAAGACCCATAACAACTTCGGTGACTATCTCGAATCTATCATCCGACCTGACATATTTCTCGAAAAGTTGCGCTAGTTTTATGGTGTATCTAATATGCTCCTGAAGTCCTTGCACCCCATAAATGCGCATAACGAACCACAGTTTTAATGAACGAAAACGCCGACCCAACGGTATCTGCCAATGCTATATCATGAAAAATTCAAGTTATAAGAATGAAAAACTTTTTAATTACATTTGTTAAAAAATTGTCCGTTAAGACGAATATTGTGTTAACGAAATTTGTAAGATCTCACTCTATAGTCCGGTACAAATCCTTCCTTATCGTGGGCAAGATATATTCTGTCAACACTGAACGTTTCTATAAGTCGTCTCGAGTCTTTTACCCTAAAAATATGAAAAATTATTACAAATAAAAATGTATCTTATATCACGAGGAGAAAGTTACTTAAACATTCGATTAAATTAATTTTGCTTGTATCATCGCTATTGCATTACATACCACAATATTGAAGCATCGAAGTTCGTGAGTAGCCATTTATGAGCGTTTACGTTAAAGGAATCCGCGTACTGAACACCGGACATCAAATGACGAAATTCCGGACAAACAAACGCAGCACCTGAATCAACACAATAAATTAAAGCGACGAAGTTTTATAACAAATATGTACGATTAAAATCTCAGTCGATGATTAATCGAATAGTACGAATCCAATCTTTTTTATTAATAATATTTTAATGATTTTTTTAAGTAATGTATCAGTCGAATATAGGACAGAGAGAGAGAGAGAGAGAGAGAGAGAGAGAGAGAGAGAGAGAGAGAGAGAGAGAGAGAGAGAGAGATGTAAAATAACTGAAAGAAAAGGGAAATTGCCTGCGTAAGCAGCGTCAATATGCAACCATATATTGTATTCTTTGCATATTGGTCCTATCTCGTTGATATTGTCGAAGGCACAGGTGCCAGTAGTTCCTAAAGTAGCGACGACGTAACACGGTATAAAGCCTTTCTCCAAATCCTCCTGTATCGCTTTCTTCAAAGTTTCTCCGCGTAGAGAATACTTATCGTCCACTGGTAGCAACCTCATTGGTACTGATCCCAAAATTCCTGCCTTCTCCACTGACGAGTTGGACTGATCTGAGAATTTAAACATGGTTATGCAAATATCCTGTGTGGGAGGAGTATAAAGATGTAGGTTTAATGTAACTTATATATATACAGGGTGTCGGATTCGATTTGGACTACTCCAAAGATTATAGTAGATTGGGTCAAACTGAGAAGAAAAGTTATATACCATTTTACAAAATCCGTAATTATTATCGCGTAATTAAGAAAAACGTCTGAGCCAATAGGTACACGGAGGAGCGGAAAGCCGGACTCGGCAGACATGCAAAATGGTGTATTTGTTGACATCTCTCAAGATCCGATAGCGAAAGGTGGAGTCACGCATCGATCGATGAGAGACGGCGCTGAGCGGGGAGCGGTGAGCGGGCGAACGGCGCGCAGCGAGCGAACGCGCGACATATGACACCGCGCCGAAAAAGTTTTTCTGGTGATAGGAGAATAATACACCATTTTGCATGTCTGCCGAGTCCGGCCTTCAGCTCCTCCGTGCACTTATTGGCTCAGACGTTTTTCTTAATTACGCGATAATAATTACGGATTTTGTAAAATGGTATATAACTTTTCTTCTCAGTTTGACCCAATCTACTATAAACTTTGGAGTGGTCCAAATCGAATCCGACACCCTGTATATACGTAACTATATGTAGGACTTTCTTTCCTCACTTAACAGTTAAATAATATTTTATCGAATAATATGGGCATTTTTAATTTTTATAAAATTTCTATTAATACTCACCGGAGGTATATGCGATGAATTTAGATTTAATGTGGTTCTCGTCTATCCCGGAATGAAGACGTGTCACACGACGCGTTGCGTGCTCTTTTGCAGCTAATAAACAAAGGAATGTACACTCGCTTGCAGATCCCTAGAATCAATTAACTAATTAATGAAATTACTAATAAACTAAACACTGTATGTGACTTTTTAAACGTTACAAAACATCGACATATAATATTAAATGTATTAAACGTTTTATTTATACGGTATTAATGTTAATAAAATTAAGGTATACAAAGAAATTAAAGGGAAAATTTAATTAATTAAAATATCTGTATATAATAATTTTGTGGCAAAGAGAATTATAACATACATGAAACGTAATACAAAAGGTTACAAGTTTTATTTAAAACTGTGATTTGTAATATTGTTTATATTTGTTATTGAAATGCAATGATTATTTATTCAAAGAAAACAAAATAGATTTTTATAGTGGCTGGAAATTATTAATTTTCTCTGTGTCCACGTACAACGTTCCAAATGAACAACGGCTCGTTGGTCTAGGGGTATGATTCTCGCTTAGGGTGCGAGAGGTCCCGGGTTCAAATCCCGGACGAGCCCGTTATTTTTGTAATATTTTTTTGTACGTTATTTATGGTAATATGTCGTCCCGGTTACTCTCTGAAGCTTGAAAATTGTATAGTTTCACGTTAGATGAAAATTATCAGTAAAATTCTATGCGTTTTGTTAAAATTGCTGAATTTGTGATCTCGTTGTATGTAAGCAATTATCGATTTGTATTTTTAATTACCTGGATGACTCCTCCGCCTCTTCCATTACTACAATGTAGAAACTCATTAGGTAACCCTAATAGTTTCCCAAGCCAATTACACGTGATGACCTCGAGCTCGGTACAAGCAGGAGACGTTATCCAGCTGAAACCGATACACCCGATCGCGTTGCTCAAAATTTCGGCAACGAGAGCCGGATAAGAGTTAGCCGTTGGAAAATAAGCGTGAAAGTGCGGCGAATTCCAATGTGTTACCTGTACATATTGACAGAAATCATAAAGCTATCTTCTTTCTTTTTTATCCATAAATAATGTAGAAAAGAGAATTTTTTGTCATACAGATATTGGAAATTAAATATGGATAAACTAAATTATAAAGTGAAAAGACAAACTGTTAAAAGAGGTGCAAGTAGATTAACAGTTTTTTATTTATAATTTATTGAATGTTATTATCCTCTTTTTTCATTGTTTAATTATAACTAATTATACGTATAGATATTTGCAAAGATCTTAATTCTTTGTGTTGATTATTTCTGAATAGAATTGAGTTTTTATTAATACAAATCCAAGTATAAGAATTTACTAACGTGATATAACAATATCTATCACGATTAAAAAGGGATTAAAAATTTACCCCAGGCATAATATATTGTTCCACATCTTTCAGCACTTCCTTCCAATTTTCAGATTTTTGCGGCGCTTCCTCCGGCAACAACTTACTGAGGTAACCCGGCTCCACATCCGGCAACACATTTCTGTCTCTCAAACTCTCGGTATAATCTGCAACGTAGTCTATAGTCGCCTTGGCAAATTCCACAAATTCCAGCGTGTCCATATTTGCTTAATTCAAGAGCACGCGAAGCAATCGCGCTGTAATACACGAATTGAAAAAATTTGTTATAATTAAAATTCTCATAACATGAAAATAGTAGAGCAAGGCGATTGAACGACTTTCAAGTTGCCGTTGAAGTTAAACTAGCCGATTGCTGGCGAAAGATTTATGTAATTATTCTGTTATATTGTTGTAAATTTTCTGGACTCTATCACGGTTTTACCTTGATTTAAACTAATTGCAATTTGCGCGAAACAATTCTAAAATCTTAAGCACTTGATATCACATTAGCGCTTGTTTTATTTCTTAATTATAAATATTTTTTACAAAAAAATGCCGTAACTAATACCAGAGAGAAACCTGAGAGCGGCCACGCCGCGGCGTTTTACTTGATACCGTTTCGGGATATTGTTTTGCGCGCTCTTAGGCCCATTTTTACTATTGGAACTATTTTATTACGCATTTTCTGACTCTGTTAATAAAATTTCCACTTGGTGCATGTCTATGCTATGCATTCTGACATCTAAGTTATAAAATTTATATTGTCTACATGAGAAAAGTTGACGTAATTATCATGCAGATAATTTATGTTAATATAATTTTGAATTTTACAGCACAATCCTGAAAAAATAGGCGTAGCATGGACACGCACAAAGTGGTGACTATATCGGCAGTGTCAGAAGATGTATAGCAAAATAGTTCCAATAGTAAAACTGGGCGTAAAGGCGCGAAAGAGAGTCTCTTGAAACGGTATCAAGTAAAACGTTGGCGTGGCCGCTCTCAGGTTTCTCTGCTAATACATAACGGCACAGACAGTCGCCTTCATAATTCCAATAAAAATTAGTTATACAAGCACGTGAAATTCTCTGTAAAATTCTCTATTCTCTATTGTGTCATGAACGATACTGCCATACTAATGATTAACTGCCAAAAGCGGACAGCGCGGAAATGCTTAGTAGCCAAGGAGAGAAATCTTTCGTACGTACATTGGAATCTTTCGATAAAATCTTGCCTCGCGTTTCCCTTTCTATTTTCGCGACGAATACTTTTATTTCTAGATGCTTATTTTACTTCCACTCGTATCCATTGTCAAACTAGTATAGCTCTATGATTAACGCGCGTTTCACGGAACAGCGAAAATTTCACTTCGTATGCACAACTTCTATAAACATCGCCGACAACGATCTCTCACACGGATCCGCGACTCGTAACTTGCTGTCACCATTGAACACAATGCCGTACGCGAGAAAAATTTAACTGACCGATTCTTACGACTCGAGACGGACGCGCGAGCCGATGGACAGAAGTGTTTTCAGTCGAATACCGTCCTCTAACATTAAATACCGCCCAGAAAACTTTCACTTGCTTTCTCCGTAATCACACCAAATTTGCCAACCACGGAAGCGATTCTTTTTTAGTACTCCGAAAACGTCTTTTGCTTCAATCTGTCATCTTTTCATTAAACGTCAAATATCAAGATACTATCAATTTTTGTCACAAACGGTGACTTTCGTTTAATTACTTGCAATTTTAATTGTAATTCTACTGCAGGCATAATAATGACTGAATACATATAATATATCCATACTAGAGAGTCGAAGAGAGATCTTTCAATTCTTTGATACATTTGAAATTAATACAATTGAAGGATTCATTAAAAATTCTTAGTGATATCGAGCTTTATTTCTAGATATTACTTTATAATTTACGGCAAATTTATCAAAATTTATGAAGCAAAACTAGAAATAATTTACGTTTCGCTTATATTCATCCTTTACTCATAAATTACACAAAAACCCACATAACTGCTGTGATATCAATTTTAGGTAACATTATATGTATAATTAAACGCAGTTCTGTATAAATCTTTCTAATTACTACTAGTCATGAAATATGCATGGAAAACTACACATATAATTAATTTTAATATATTTTTAAAATTCAACATAATATAATAATACAATCTTAATAAATCTTTCCCATATTATTATATAATAAGCATGGAAAATTATAATAAAATTATATATAAAATTATATATAAATATAAATGATAAAAGATCAAGATAAAACTTCCGCACTTATTAGTAGCGTAGGAATTAGTAATAAAAAACTCATGTTGATCAATTTCTTCATTTTAACATTTCAATTGAAGGCAAATGATATTAAAAATATCATTTACTTCCAATGCGGGTAGAAAAATAAAACGCAAAAAGAAAGGATTGCGGGCTCGTCCGGGATTTGAACCCGGGACCTCTCGCACCCGAAGCGAGAATCATACCCCTAGACCAACGAGCCTCACGGAAACTTTTTCGTTCTTAATCTTCCACATGGTCGCAATCACAATGTGAAACAAAATTGACACATGAATAAGCTATCTGTATATAAAACGTGCTTGATATTATTTGAAGCAGTTTCGCATACAACATTGACTACCTGCATATCTTAACCATTCAAACTGGATATCCTTTTTATGGAACATTCCACTCGTCGCCTTTCTCATAGCGTGGCGATTTCTTCCTCGTTCTCATTATTTGTCCTGTGAAACATGCATTTTTCTCTTACAATTATTATTAAAACTTTGTGACTCTCCCCCCTCTCTCTCTCTCTCTCTCTCTCTCGTCACGTTATGTGACATTTTTTTATTTAAAGTACATTTTATTTAAAAATGTTATAATATTTCATATTATATTAAACGTTACTGTATTTTAATTTTCAATTTGTCAGCTCTCTCTCTCTCTTTTTCTCTCTCTCTCTCTCTCTCTCTCTCTCTCTGTATTTATTAGTTATTTTGATTTCAATTTGTTCAGACCCTCAGTTAAGGGTCTGAGTTATAAAATAAATTTAAACATACTTCTATAATACTTAAGCTTTGTATATGAATAAATCGAGTCAAGTTTCTGGCAATATGTGGCTGACTAATATTTGATCATCCGGGAGGTCAGCTGTTACGGGAGCAGCCAGTTCTCGGCATGGCTCGTTGGGTCTAGGGGTATAGGGGTGTGTGTCTCGCTTAGGGTGCGAGAGGACCCGGGTTTCAAATCTCCGGACGTGCCCGTCTTTATGTTTGATCCAACTCGTTTCTCAATGTCCCACTTTCGCAACTTTCAATTTGGCAGTTCACAGCTAGCGTTATGACACGTCACATTCCACGAACGGTGAGGACATAAAGTTTTAAATTCTTTCTCGAGTTTCCATAATAGATTAAGTCACGTCGAGATTATTTTTGGTCACGTACGCCAAGCGCATTGAAGGTAGCAGTATAGAATATAGAAAATATATAATACAGTTTCTTCTATATTATATAATATATCAATATTAATTTTACGACAATTTTTATTCAGACACTTAGGCTCCGCTTGTTTATAATTAATACAACGTAGGAGCCAAAGATTAATTTCCATTTACAAATAGAAAGCAAAAGAGCAATACAAATAGAAAGCAGGCAGAGGATTCCCGTCTTTTGTGTCACTTTCAAATTCCCTGTTTAAAACTGCCCGAGACTACTTTAATTCTTTTTTCTATTTAATTATTGTGTAATGTATAATATTCTTATTTATAATACTTTTGTCTATTTGTCTTTAAATACTACGATTAAAAAATAGGTTTTGACTACAAACATTGCGATATGTTGACTGCAATCATTATACCAAGTAAGTTTAATAATAATAGAAGACTTCGCAGCCATTAAGACATAATCTATTTTATATCTTTATTAATTACTTACTAATTTAATGTACTGTAATATATAATTACATAATAATTATTACTATCCTATACGTATACCGCCTTTCATAATTATAAAAAATAAAAACTAAAAGAGTTAAAACAAAAGTTGTGTACAAGTATATTAATTACGAATTTGCGTTTACTTTTAGAAATTGTCTCACTCAATATTTTAGCAAGTTTCTGTCTTTGTAATAAATAAATAATTCTAAAGTAATACAAATCTCGGGTCTGTTCTTTATAACTAAACTGGCTGCACCAGTTCAGAGCTTATCTTTTTCCCTCCACATTAAAGGGGAAAAGATAAACTCTGAACTAGTGCAGCCAGTTCAGCTACAAAAAGCAGATTCAATATGTAAGTAACGCGATTACATTTCACGTATTAATGCTTAAAAATTTCTCATTACAAGTAATAAAAAAAACTAAAGTGTCCCGAATAACGGGATGAGGCCCCGGAGGGATTCGAACCCTCGATCTCCTGTTTACTAGACAGGCGCTTTAACCAACTAAGCCACGGCGCCCATATGCGTTGCGAACGTGATCGTAACATAGAAAATCTCTTGACACGTGCTTTTACAAGACTGATATGTAAAAACCTGTAAATGATTTGAATATCGATATATCCCGAATTATATTGCATTAATACTAATAAATGCTTTAAGCGATATCGACTTTATAAGACTTTACTGGTAAAAATGCAAAAAGATATTTTGATATCAGGGAAGAGTAGATTAACGAAAAGTTAAAAGAATACTTTTTAACAACTATAATTCTATAAAAGGAGCGAAAAAAATAACCTGGAGGCGCCGGGTATCGATCCCGGTACCTCTCGCATGCTAAGCGAGCGCTCTACCATCTGAGCTACGCCCCCTGCGAGAACCGCTCTCGCGTATCGAGGATAAAGGTCGACTTGTAAGAATAAAATACATGTATATCACGAGACACGGTAGTGTCTCGCGCCAAGTATAAGCGACTAAGGCCTGGTTGCACCAACGTCGCTTAATTTTAACTTTAGCTTAATTCGCTCGTTGTCTCTTTCTAAGGGAAACAGAGAGAGAGAGACGAAGGGTGAATTAAGCTACAGTTAACGTTACGTGACGTTGATGCAACCGGGCCTAAGTATAACTGACAAACTAATAAGCGACAAACTAAAACCACGCGCGCGACATGTTATATACTTTGCATTAATTAAAGATGGTACAAAGTGAGCTAGGAAAGCATAGAAATGTTAATTCCAAAAATTTTAACACGCATGATTAGGAATTAAAAACAAATAAAAATTTGTATGCTATCAGATTTATACGTAGAACAAAAAAAAATCATATCTTATTTAATCTCCGAAATTATTTAAAAATTTCTTCTCACTGAATGTTAACATACTTGTGTAGCCAGAGTAATTAAAGAGAATTAAATTTAAATTACGAAATCATTCTAAGATTCTGTAATTTATTGTATTATTGAATAGTATAATAAATAACAATGTGGAAA